TATTTGTCGCTTCAATGATCAAGACCATAACAACTAGACTGGATTCAAATGTTAAAGTCATCGCCCACCCGAAACACATGACCTGTTAGATGATCCAATGTTGCTTGGCAACAGCGACAGACTAACGAGAACCATATATTCGAGAAAAGATTCCTCGTTTTAATATTAGCCCCTTTTCTCATTCGGTAAATGCCGTTGTGTTTTATGATTAAAGATTTATCTGCAGAAGCTTTTAAGAGCACATTATTTGCGAAAGTCAATTGTAAATGTAAATAATGCTATAACCTGTTAAATTGTTCAAGATTACCTGACAATAATGATTAAAAAGTAATAACCCTTTTCTCAATTGGCAAATCCCGGTTGTTTTTTTTTTTTTTTTTTTTCAATTATTTTTATTTTATTTTCTAAAAAATGAAAAAAAAAAAAAAAAAAAAAAAAAAAAAAAAAAAAAAAAAAAAATGTACAGCGTGAAAAACAGCTTGAAATCTATGATTAACTTATTTATAAACGAGGCTTAGTCTGTGCAAATAGGTATGTGGTCTTCAAAAACAGTGCATGTGCATTACATGCGAAACTGGTGTATTTATCTAAAATTCAATATATGTACGTCAGTATCTAAACATGAACGATGGACACTGCGTAACACCCGTTTCCAGATCTAACTGTTTCCTAAAATACAATCATCAATTGACAATTCTCAAAAAGAGCTTACAAGTAAGGCTAACATTGAAATATGAAGAAAAAAAATTTTTTTTTTTTTCTCGATGGAATTTGTTTTTTGTATATTTCCATGTTAGCCTCACATTCAAGACAATTTTGAGAAGTAATTTCTTTCCTTGCGTCATGTAATATTATTTTTAGTGAGCTTTATTTTGTTGTTACGTTTTTCATAAAAGTTGTAAATGCATGGTGCGCAGCAACATTTTGTAATAACTTCCTGAAGATAAGCGCTAGCACGAAAGCTTGATAAATAACTGATTACCATATGGTTCAAAATCACCAATCTATAAATTAAAAAAAAATACATATCTTAATATATTTGTATAGCGGCGTAACTTGCTTTGGTATATTCCTAGATTATTGTAAGGCCTTTGATACTGTAAACAATAAAATCCTAATCAAGAAACTATCTAAATATGAAATAAGGGGCATTGTCCTAGACTGGTTTAAATCCTATCAGAATAACAGACACCAATATGTATCTATTGGTAATACTAACTCTGATTATCTTCCTATCTCCTGTGGTGTTCAGTCTTAGGCCCTTTGGTGTTTCTCTTGTATATTAATGATTTCTCCAACTCTACTAATGTTTTTGATATTCATCTTTTTGCCGATGACTCAAATTTATTCTATTCTGATAAAGATCTTATAAATCTAGAAAAAACTATTAACCTCGAATTAATTAAAGTTAATGAATGGTTAGTGGTAACAAGTTAACATTAAATGTCAGTAAATCCAACTTTGTCATTTTTACTTCTTGTCAGAAAAAACTTCCCTTTCAGCCTAAACTCTTCATCAACAATAATAATCTGGAACAGAAAAAGAAACTAAATATCTTGGTGTCATTTTAGATCATAATTTAAACTGGAAAAGTCATATTCATGAAATTTCTAAAAAAATGGCCAGAGGAATTGGAATTTTATCTCGCATTAGATATTTCACTGCCACAAAAATTTTGTTGCAACTCTATTACTCTCTTATTAATCCTCATTTAACATATGACACTATAACTTGGGGGAACACTTATGCTTATACTATTAGACCTCTTTTAATTCTTCAAAAAAAGGCAATTCGCCTAATTACCTTTTCTAATTACGATCAACCTTCTGACCCTTTATTTTTCAAAACACCAAATTCTGAAACTTCATGATCTTATCTACTTATATAATGCTAAGTTTCTTTATAACTTTCCTTCTAAATTACTTCCTAATGTATTTGACAACTTTTTCTCTCCAGTAAATGAATTACACCATTATAACACAAGACTTAATCTAAATTATCCTAATGTCTTCTTAAAATTAATACTAAGATACAAAGGTGCAGTTATTTGGAATTCAATTGATGATACATTAAAACAGCTGAGCTTAAGAACTTTCTCTAAGAAACTTAAAGCCTCTTTTCTTTCTACTTATTCTCCTTCAGATCCTGTTTAATAAATATCTTTTTCTCTTTGTATGTGAATGTCTAGTGTGTGCTTTTCATTTTCTTTTCTTTAATGTGTGTGTGTTTTTGTGTGCATACATAGGATTTAGATCATGTAAATAGTAATACAGTACGTAAATATAATTTAATAATCATAGATATATATAATAATGTATATATAGATACCTATTGATATTGTAATCTTTCAATTTTAGTCTTCTTTTCCATCCATTATTCTTTGTAATTTCAGATATTTGTGTTACCTAGCTCGTTTAGCTTTATGGTTATTCTAGGTAACCTCTACTATTCTTTTATAAATATACATATATCTATATTTTTCTCTATTGTAATCTCTGGTATAAATAAAGCACATTGTATCGTATTGTATTGAAGGAAGGACTCTATTACGCTTATTAAATATTCGTTCTCGCAACAATGTAATTTGTCAATAACCATAGCAATCCCGCATTCCTAATATCAAGAACAAGACGTTGTATATATTTTTTTCTCTGGAATGCCTGTTCTTTGAATAAAACATCGGCTTCAATTTTTGACCTGGTCATTAATAAAAATCTGGACATCCTAGCAACCACTGAAACTTGGCTGTCTGACGATGCGAAACGATATTGACGATATTGACCAAAATCCTACTGTTGCGGAGGTTCTTAATTAACTATCTACAAGACTACGATATCTATCATGTTTCAAGAACTGGCAGAAATGGCGGCGGTGTTGATATCTTCCTACGGAAAGGTTTCAAAGTCAAAGACGCCACCGATTCTTTGTCGTCTTTTAATAGAATGTTTAATTCTAACTTAATTGAAATTTCGGCAAAGCTAGACTCGTTCTGAGTAGCAGTGAATAGTCGATAGCCGCTGTTTCCACTTGTTGTATGCCCGCTGGACACCTATATACGTTAAACACACGCTATCACAATCACGCGCCTATAGTCACCCGCTTTGTCGCTTTACGTTTGAATGCTCCTTGATTTACTGATTCATTGCGTAAATCTAAGCAAGGCAATGTGAACGGAAATATCTCTCAACACGTCTAGAAGTTCATCGACAGATCCACAAAAAACAATGCCATCTTTATCTTTCACAGATAAATGAAGCCAAATTTACGTCTCTTTAAACCCCTACAACAGACCTCTGATCTGTTATCTCTGGAAAGTTGTCTCCAGGACATTACACAATGGTTGCCTTCAAATAAGCTAGATGTAACATGGGAAAAATTAGGCTCTACATTTAACGTCGCGTTTTCCGCCAACACTTACCACTATCTGCCAGCTTGAATGGTAAGGACATTGATCCGATAGATAAAGAACGTGATCTTTAATTGACGTCGTTTTGGACAACACACGTGAATAGTATAAGCAAATCAGCTTCATTGGGAATCCGCAACATTGAACGAATACGTAACTGCATCATCGGAAATGCAGAGTGAACGAGTTATTCATGTTTTTGTGTCATCAAAGCTTGAGTACTGCAATGGCATTTTATATGGACTATCGGAGTAAGAAATCCAGAAATTACAGAACCATAATACTGCATTTCGTGGCCACGCACCAGCGTATATCACCGCACTTCTACAAGAGCTCTGTCAATCCCGCTCATTAAGATAGTCCACACACACACACACACCACACAAATACACACACACACACACACACAAATAATAATAATAATAATAAATAATAATAAAAATAATAAAATGGTAGTAATAATAAATTGTCGACTTCCGTAATTCAAAATGGAAAAAAAAAAAAAAAAAAATAGTGACTTACTATATGTAAAGTATGCTGTCTGTTCCACGCACCTACACTCAATTTATGCCGAGCGCGCTTTCACTTGATATGAATATAAACTGTCTTACATTCGCTAAAAAAAATATTCAAAAACACACACAACCAATTACTGACAAAGAAAATTATCATTTTAATTTCAATTTAAATCTGTATTTTCTCCGTCGTGACTGAACTGAATGCAAGCTTATATTTTTCGAAAACGTTTTTTCTGGTTCTTGCTCCATCTCCAAAGAAACATTTTTTATATGAGGTACGAGACGACAACAAATAATAAAACTGACAGATTGAATTCTTAAAGTCAAATTATTATTTAATCAAGCCTAGAGCTCCTAGTGTGGATTACCAATGCTCTGAACGAAAAATAGTACAAAAAAAGGCGGAATTTACGGAATTTAGAAACGATTGGATTTTTGTATGCCCCCCCCCCTCCCTTTGTTGTTTTGCTGAAAATTGCCATCAAGCAAATGGTATATGCAAAATATTTTATGAGTCACAATAAAAGTAAAATCAAATTCTTCCTTCATTTGAATCGGCTATTACGAATTATTGCAAGTTAGTTTTCACATAGGGTTTCGAATTAAAATTTCGAATACGTCACTGACAGTCATTAGCATATGGTATGGAAAAACCTTTATAACTTCAAAAAGCTGGACTCAAACTATGAAGTTTATTTGGAGGTCATTCAATAGCTGGTCCCATGTAGAAACAACGCGGAGAATATTGTGATGAATATTGGAAGGTTCGGTTAATAAACCAGTGACGTTTGATGTATAACACTTTGGTCGACTAATAGTATGATAATAAGTAGTAGTAAGTAAGTAATAGTAGTAAGGTCCAAATAAAGTAACATTTTGAATTCGGGTGAAACGAAACTCTTCCCACTCGCTGTTTTACTTCTGATTGGTTGATCAAGTAATAATCACGAAAATGAAGTCCAAAACGGCTTTCGCACCGGAAATGGCTACCCTCTCAACCCCCCAATCTCTATTTTCGTTTGTTGTGCATAGATGGCAGTTTATTTTTAAAAACTATTGAATTTAAAAAGAAAATATTTTTTAAAATGAACTGTTTTATTACGTATTTTATAAAAATGGTACGAAAATGTTACGAAGATATAAACTGACCTACTGCGTATTCGTGCAAACACCACTAAGTCTAACACTGAAAATATTTACAAGATATAGGATGGCCGTTTAACGTGCAACCATAATTTCGTATGATTTGTAATGGGAATTTCGTCCTTTATTTTTTATTATCTTTACTATCTTTTCTATCTTACTAAGGATTTCAGACGTAAATGACGTATATACATAGCTTTTTAAAATGGTATCTATAAGCCTTCGCCATCGATTTAAAAAAGAAAATGGTTTAGTAAGCGTAAGGAAGCATAAAGCCTTGTTTCACTTGATGCCATTTCCTGTATCGTACCGTACGGAAGTCAACTATTMATTATCTGAATTGCTGAACTGCAACAAGTTTTCAATAGAATTCTTTCTGGATGACATCACATTGTGGTCAGTGTTTGACAACCATCTAGAGAAGATAATGAGATTCGAGGACTTTTTTACGCTGACTGAAATCAGCATTACAATAATTCTGTTTCGAATTTAAATTTTCCATTGCTCAGAGTTATTGTATTATCCTCAATACTCAATTTTACATCTACGTTCAGTGACAACAAATAAAAGTCCCAAGCCGTTGTTGCAGTTGCCGTACATGATAAAAACTATAGTATTGCTATGCGCGGAAACTTCAACGTCGAATTGGAACTATTAATCGTTGTCACTAAACGGAACTGTAAAATTGAGTATTGTGTGCAGAATCATTCGCGTATTCCATTAAATATCCATATTGTATTGCTGAGGCTCGGTACATACTTTACGGTTGGTATTTGAATATTTCATAGACACTGAAATGTTGTTGAGTTCGTAATCAATGAATAGTCCCTTTTCTCATTTGGTAAATACCGCTGTGTTTTATGACAAAAAACTCATCTGCACCTGCTTAGCTTCGCCTAAGAGTAACTATATTTTGATAAAATTCAACATTTATGTAAAGAATGTGCAGCTTGAATAATAACCGATGTTTGGAAATTTTAATGGTATCCGTGAATGGCTGACTTATAGAAAAGGCTTAACCTGTAATGGGAGGTTCTTATATAGGGCCAGTTATGACCAGAGGAGCACTTTACGGGCTGCATATTAAGGCGCTATTAGCAGCCGTCCAGCTTACGATCATTAGTGATTTGCTAGTACATTAGTGTTATGCCTCCAGACAGGGATAGGCTGTTGAACCGGGAGACAATCCCCTACTCTTCACAAACAATTCAACAGGTTCTTTTTTGTCCCCCATTTTACTGCAGGTAAGGAAGGATTGGGAAACGGGGCCTATGGTTTAAAGTCCTTATCCGGGAAGACCTGAAGGTCTAACCATTTCCAGATATTATTGCAAAGGCAGCGCCTTCTCCTCAGTTATTTTAGAACCCTGAGTATTGGTCCGGCCGAGGTTAGAGCCACGACCTTTCGCACAACAGACCGATGCTCTTACCAACTGAGCTCACAAGGTGGCGGTTGTACCAAATGTACAAATGAGTGTGTGGTCTGCAAAAAGAACAGCAGTATGCATCGACTATGCCAAACTGGTATTGAACAGAGTGGCATTTTGTTAACTCAAAAAAGGACTTTTCTTAAACTTATAAACCTAGCAAGGTATAATCCGTTTCATTATAAATGTCGCAGCTTCCTTTATTTCCGAAGTTCGGCAAAGTAGTATGACAGGATTGATAAAAGCCCTCGTGAACGTAAGAACAGTTACCACACATTCTGTGGATGGTACGCCTTTTCTGCCGTCCCCAATAATACTCACCACTATTTTAGTACAGAAATACGGCAAATAACTGAAAATGAATACCATAAACAAAATCATTATTGTTCGAGTTACTTTACGGTACCTAGGTATGCTGGAAATTTCTGTTGCACTTTCAGATAGTTGGCTCGCTTCCATTTTAGTCTTTCGTAGTTTTAACAGCATTTTGTAGTAAAATACAGCTGTAACGAAAAAACATATGGCCGTAACAAAGCCCGCTAATGTAGACAAGCTGTTTGTGGGTATAACAAACTGAAGAGAGCTCAGAAAAATTGAAATGACCCAAATTAATACCACTGTGATTGTGACCTTGGTTCTGGTAACATACTCAGTGTAGTGAACGCCTTTATGAATGATCAAATATCGATCAATAGATAAGGCTGTTACTGTGAATAGGGAACTCSCTGAAAATAAGTACCCAAAGAAATATGAGTGSTTTCCTATGRAACAAAATAGTTCAACGTTATACGTTARCTCTGCGACTTTCTTGGTCAAAWAAATTGGTAKTAACACARTGGCTATCAGGAGATCAGATACTGAGAGRYTGTAGAGAAGAAGAGTCGATGGCTTCCTCAAGGCAAGTGATGAGTACAGTGATCTCAGGAGTAAAAGATTGAGAAATGCCGAAGGTATAAGTARAAGTGCACTCCATATAAAAGCTGTCAGATAGTAGACTCGACCAAACATGATTTCTTCACGGTTGAATATCAGAAAATAACAGTTTTTTGGGAGAAACGGCGTCATGTTGAAGGCCATAGTCTTTTAGTTGTCAATTTTTGTGATTAAGTTTTTTGGGTCTGTTTGATACGATGCTTGTGTTGACGACACTGATAGGCCTTGTTGGAACAGCTTTCAGAAAAGGATACCTGTACATCAAAACATAGTACCATTGTCAAACATGCTGAAGCATGAAGAGGAAACGAGACAATACAAGACAGGATAAGASTTGTATATATTTTATATCACAACCATCACTTCCTGTAAGGGCCCCGCTCTACACACATATGCTCACTTCGTTATATAGATACAAAGTTTTCGATATAACGAATACTGTCATTGGTTGAAAGATAGCCACGTAACAAAAGTGAAATCTAAATGCCCCGAAATAARTTACTTATTTCGCGGTCGGGAAATAAGTTACACGTGACAAGACTGGTGAAAATAAACAAGTGCACGTGATCAGGACGTGAGACGCGCTAGTGGCGTGATATTTTGCACCAATCACAAATAACAAAGGTATTTTGTTGGAATTTTTTAGGGCAAATTGATCATGAAGCAAAACAAAAAACAAAAACAAAAAACACACACACACACAAAGAAAAACAGAGAGTTTTCAGTATTTCTACAGAAAAATACAAATGTTCATTGAGAAAAAGAATTCGGAAAAAACGCAAACAAACAGCTAAAAATGCTGCTAAGTAAAAAACAGAAAAAGAGAAGCTTTAAGACGTTTAAGGTAAATTTTAAATAATTTTCCGTGACTCAATACATTTACTGTAAGACCAAAACTCTTGATGATCTGTACGCGCAAAAATAACTTGGAATAAACTGATAATCAGTATTGTACAGATAAAGATTTTATAGTTTCAATCCTTTTTATAATTTGGTTTGTTTTTTTTTTTAACCAGAGATTTCATTGTTATAAGTTAGTGGGGGCTGCCGCATAGGAGGATTCAGTTCTTCCCTGGCAGCACCCTTTTTGCAACTTCTTTCTATTATTATTTGTTTGAAAATAAAGTTATTATAAATAAATAAAAATAAATGAATATAAAAGCAGGTAAAGTATAAATTCAATTAAGAAACCTTTCAATTTTGGAAAGTTATTTGATTGGTTACCCTCCAAAGACGCAAGGCATAATGGGGATGTGAAAGTAGAGAATTCAGTGCAAAAACCTAAGCCTGTAACAGAGTACAAATTAAAAACGGAATTCTCGCATTTGATTGGGTAATAATTAAATAATAGAAAATGAGCCAGAAAACGAGCCAGCCAATCTAAAGAAAATAATCAAGCTATGCTTTCCGCAAATAAAAAACAAAACAAAACAAAACAAAAAAAACAAACAAACAAACAAAATCGATAAATAAAAAATAAGAAAAAGACTATGAGCAAGACTATTAAACACGAAGTGGCAAGTACTTACGCAATGTTTTAGTCTACGAGAATATTCCAAGACCTAGCCGCAAAGTTTCCTGAACACGTTCAATTATACATTTTTCAATACAACTACAGTAGCTCCAAGTCAGCTACGTCAGCCAATCCAAAGTATGTCGATATTTAAATTAATTCAGATTTGCTTTATCGAGTAAACAACTTTTTTTAGACACAATTTGGTTCAAGTTAGGTAGGTACTAAAACTATTTAAATTACATGCATTTGAAACCAAAAACGCTTTGAATATATTAGTTGGTCGTGAACAAACAAATTTCATAAGATATTATGTGTTGAATATTTCACATTTCTTGTCTTCCCTTTTTACTGTTTTTCATGTATATTATTACTAAGTTATCACAAGGTTTCTAGTTCAATTTGGGATTGATTCGCACGAGTGTGTTTTTAAAAGAGCTGAAATTGCACTCGACCTAGGGTCTCGTGCAATCAACTCATTGAAAAACACACTCGTGGGAATCTGCAATCCCAAATTGAACTCGAAACCGTATGATTATTTATAGTAATAGTCACTATTTACAGCACACAACTCTCGACTCACAGGTGACTGTTTGTTACTGAGGGAGGGAAAGCGGTAAGCCAGGAGAAAAACCCTTTTGGCAAGGGAGAGGACAACACATCAAACAAACCCAACTCATAAGTGCTTATCAGTCAAGACAAGACAAGCCAGGCCAGACAAGGGAAAATGCTATTCTATGTGTCAAAGCTAGAAACAGCTACTGAGGAACCATTCAGTATAAATACAAAACACGACTCACCTAATAAAACTCAGTATATATCTGCCTTATCGATCGCGTTTCGTTATTAGTGGAGATATTTCAGCAACATGTGTCTCATTTTTACCCGTTAGTCTTCGACGACTAATTGAACTTCATTAAACATGATACTATTCTGATGTGAAATCGAAGTCAACCTGTACTAAATGCTAGCGCTAGACTAATAATAGGTGGTTTATGTCATAATAAAGTTTAAGCATTTCCGTTGCGATAAAGCAAAGCAAAACCATCGCCAACTATTTGGACCTTTTTGAGCCTGCGCTACCTCAGCAGAGTTACACATGAGTAAATCAAACATGGCGTGTAAATGCATAGAAATTGTATGGGCTCATAAAATTGAACAACAAATAAAAACATTGCTATAGGCTATACACAATTTGCCTCCATGCCTTCAAATTATACATTTACCTGTCTACAGTTCTGTAAAGCTATTTACATTAATTGTCAACAAAGTATGTTTAGGAAATGGGTTCAAAAATATAATAACTAAGGAACAGTAATCGCCTTCGATGACTCTGAACAAAAGCTCAAAATGTGAGAATATAGAGGCTGATAATTCAGTTTCAATTAACCCTACACAATTTGCCTACTTGAACTGTTAAACTACATTACCTTCGCCGTAGACCAAATTCAAAACTCGCATCGATTTGAGGCTTAAGTTGTGAACAAAGGAATCTGGCATGGTTCGTGACTTTTGAATCACGTCAGATTACTTTGAGGCACGCCAGATCCCTTTGTTCACAACTATCAGCTCCATAATTGTGCACGAAACAGGTGGACGATTCGTGTTTCGTTTTCGCTTGTAAAAATCCATTTTTTTGAATCCCATGAAATATGATGTGCCATTGTCAAGTTGAGCTTCTAACGCTTCCTTGAACGTGGTTTAAGTCTTGTTTTTGAAGTAGATACTAAGCCAAACTAGCGAATCATTTGGTATCAAAATATTCAGCGGAAACTCTGCTTTCTCATCTCGAAAAGATGTCTGGGATACACTTCAACGGACAGAATATTATGGCTACTTTATTAGGGGTATTTTCACTTCCGTTTGATCGCCGCGCTGTCTGGCGCGAAAATTTGTAAGTGTAAATAAATCATAAAAAGATGTAAAGTGTCTGACGTTCTCAAAAACAATAGCGTTATGAAAGTATAAGAATGATATAAGAGTGGATAGTAATCACTGCGTAACCTATGTAAGTCATTTTGAATCCGAATGAATTCAATAGAGAAACCGCGGACTACAATGCTTACATAAGTCCCAAATAATTGGCGATGCAAAAATGAAATGCGATTTTTTTTGTTGTTGTTAAGTTTTCAGAACGGTGAAACCAAAGCTGAATCTGTGGTTTTCCTTAATACTGCTACCCTTTCGAAAAATATCCGCTGAATAGCATTTAAGTCCGCAATTAATATTTTGTGAATATGACATTCCAATTTGGAGATTCTCAGCGTACAAGCCAATATTAATCCAGCCCCATACCGTCTTATACACACCAAATTAATTTAAGGAATTTGAATTACAGTCAAACCACCTCCAGCGTGGACGCGTAGAGGTCATTAATGACTTTAATTTTGGATTGTTGAATTCATTATTCGATTCGATCGAACATTCAGTAATGAAAGCTAATCTTCAAAGCCTAGCATTTTCGAAAGCAAAGTATATACGCAGCTGAAATGCAAGAGCAACTCTTTGTGCAAGGAATATGTAATATTAATRACATACCTTCTGTTTTCGCTATATACAAGAGCCTACCACTWATAAATTAAAATATATTAATACAATAATTGAAAAAAAGATTACGGGATAGCTCTAGGCCTGGTTGTGCGAAGGGTGAATAGAGCGATCCGATGAATAACTCCTTATCCAGTGGATAAGTCGATGCTATTATCCAATAAATGTATCCATAAATGTATTCGTCGGATAGCGCTATCAACCCTTCATACAACCAGGCCTTGGTTTTCAGCAGGACGAGAAAAATTGTTAAGCCGCAGGAGAGAACGAAGAGGCTACTTTACTAATTAAGAATTAATAAGTGGATGCGYAAAATGTATGTTCTCTAGTGAATGTGTTTGGAATTTGTATTTTAGTGTTTGTATTGTCGAAGTTGTGCATTCTTTAATTTCCGTTAGTATTTGTGATCATTTCGATGCTGGCTATGAACAAATAAGCTGTAGACGGTCAAAAAACACAGCGGTCTGTAGAAATGGGGTTGCACTCGGTCAGTAATAAATGAAATAAACCGCTTTAATTTATTTGTAAAATTCATCCAAAAAATTACGACGGTGCTTGCCAACTGAATTAATATCCGGGGAAGCTTTTCAAAAAACTTCTAGACCTTTTCCTTATACGTAAATATTTGTTTAAT